AGTCCTGGCAGCCTGGTTGGTGGGGTGCCTTGCTATACACCGGTCCTCATTCAGTTTTTGCTAGTTCTCCGGTAGCAATCTTTTACGTAGCACCGTCAAAGATCTGTACTACCTCTCTACTCGGGTTTTGTCAAGCGGGCGTCCATCTTTCCGGTTCCTTGGATTAACACGATCTAAAACATTTTGTGTAACTCATATATTACACAAATGCCCTATGATCTTTCAATCTTGTTGGTACCACCAAGGTTACAGAGATCCCATTCCAACCGATCGTTAAAAGACAGTAGCCGTCGTACAAGTAGAATATTTGAAATTCATCACCAGTGGGTTTCAAACCCCCTACCTGGCCAATATATCGCTTGGGGGTGCGACAACTTAACCACTTCACTAAGTCGCCACACCCTAACTTGGTAACTTAATTAAACAAATACTTTATAATATCTTATAACAAATTTTTTAACATCATCTTGAATACTTGAAAATGATTTTTTATTGATATTCAAAATTGTTTCTTTTTTCTTTAAACCAAACAGATCTATAACCTCTTGATAGTCTGTATCAAGTATAAAAGAATGTGCAAGTCTTTAAATAAAATAATCATTAGTTTATTATAGGTGTATTTGTATAACAATATGATAAATGTATTAAATATAATATATTTACATTTTGAAATATTGAGTCACTGCCCAATTATACAAAACATCTTCTACAAATCTGCCTAATAGAAGCATCAATTTGTCATCCATATTTATCACTTCAAATCTCAACTTAAAACCTTCAAACAATTTTTTTTCTAATTTTTTTCTTTCTCTAGTCTTTTCATCCCTATTATTATTTTCATAGTCATCTTTGTCAATATCTTTTATATCAATCTCATCATCTTCATAGTTATCTTTGTTATTGTCTTCATTGATCTCATTGTTGTTATCTTTGTCATCTTTGTTAGTCTTATTGTTATCTTTATCGATCTCATTGTTCTCATCGATCTTATCGTCATCTTCATTATAAAGCTAGATATTAAAAATTAGAGATAGTTAAAACAGAAAATAATAATTAACAGCATTTTACATACCTTGCAATTGACTTTTTTTATTTTTGGTGATCTTTTGAGTGGTGAATTTTTTTGTTTACTAATTGTTCCAATCTTTCCCCTATTAATTACTTCATAAATTGTATTAATCGACCTTTTTATAGTTCTGTTTATTGGTTGGTATAGATATACTTGTTTTCATATATATTTCTTTTTCCAAGATTTTGTGATTCTAAAGTCTAGCTTAGATTTCTAGTATATAAAATTTGAAAATTAGTAAAACTCTTGTCTATACTTCAATTTTTATTTATTTGAGTATTAGATAATCAAAAAGGTTATCTAACCCCAATAGATCTAGTATTAAATCGGTGAGAAGCCTTGAATAGCAAGTAACCAAAAAAGTTACTTGTGCTCTAATACTGGTTTTGTAGCTTAACGAAAGCTTTAAATAATGAAAGACCAAGAAGGCCTACAATTATCATACCACTATTTTAACTAAAGTTTTACTTATGAAAGTTTATATATGAAAATTTTACATGCCTTTCAATATTTGTTAAGAAGCAGAGGTGCTTTTTTTTGTCTTTTTCTTTTTCTCTATCGATCTTTTCAAGGCTTTTAATGTAAGCATCGATTTTTTTCTGAAAAGGTTCTAAATCACATTTATTTAAAAACTCAACTATATTCTAATCACTATATTTGCGATTAAAGTATTTATATATTTTGAATATTATAAACAGGCTTTGTTTTCAAATTAATATCTATTACACTAAGAAAAATATATAGCATTATAAATCTGAAATATATCCAGGGCCAATGATTTTGGAAAATAAGGGCCTAGAAAGTAAAAATAATTACAAATACAGGTCTAAATTAAAAATAATTACATATAAGAGCCTAATCTTAAAAAAAATATTACATATAAGGACCCAAAATAACTGCAAGCCTATAGCTTGATTACCATTAGTATAAGAAATCTAAGTATCGATAAATATAGTTATTAAATGCATAAAAAATATAATGATCAATTGTAAATTAGTAATTATAAATGAAAAATTTTTTTTAAATTTAATAAATTTCATTTTCTTTGTATAATATTGTTTATTGTAATAACAAACTACTATGATGCCAAGTAAAACACTACAAATTGGCTAATATGGAAGATATTTGTTTAGCTCTAGAAAGCTACTCTGTTAAAACTTCTTCATTTTATAAATGATTATACTAGTTTAACGCTATTTTTTATACAATATTTAAAGAAAAATAATTATAATCAGAGCTTCATTGATCCTTTTATCTAATAATTGGTATATAGATAATTATAAATAGCTATAATAAAACAATTAATAATCACACAACTCTTCCCAACAATCACTTGGACCAACTGTTCCTACCCAACTCAAGTTGAAGAACTCGAAGCCCGATATCTAAAACTATTCAAATTTTTCTCTGAGTTGCTGTCGACGAAGCCTCTACCGTAATATATCGAGAAGCGAGCAGTAAAAAAGCGGTTTGTAGCCTGGGTCAAGCTTATTCTTTGGTGGACTCCCCTACATTCAGCATCCAAGCTAGAAGGGTTATTCTAGTAGCAATTAAACAAGAGGAAATTTTGAATAGTATAGGAAGAAGGACAAGAAAGAACAACTGAAAAAGCTCTCCTTTGGCTGGTATCTCACAAAAATCTTGGTTTTTTCTCTTTTCTTATTTTCGTTAACACCTTGAAAAATTTTTGTTGGAGGCACTGGTTTATAACAACAAAAAGATCAATATTGCTTATTTTTCCAAAATAGGATATAGCTGTATTGTGATATGTGGAAGATTCAAAAGATCGTAGTATGGAATAGCCTGTTTTTAAAAATGGTATACTTGCAGTTTTTGAAGATAATAGAGTTGACATAACAAGTAGTTTTAGAGATATATCATAGTAGTCGCTAGATATATAATTTTTATGCCTTCGTGCAGGTTGTAGCACATTTATTCTCTTTTTTTTGTTTAGTCTTAGATCATATAGTAGTATAGACTAGGATTAGACTCTAGGTAACATATACTAATCAGTGATATAGTGGGTATACACCAGACTCGTGTCTAAGAAGCCTTGGTCCGCTGTTGAGACAAAGAGGTGGGTTTTTCATTAGGACTTGGCAACTTTGTTGTTAAGGAGTCGTGGTGACGAGTGAGCCAGGTTGGAGTTTCGTTATACGTATATATAAATAACTACAATAAACCAGTCAGATTGAGGGTCTTGGCTACACGATAACAACTTTGTCCTTTTTTTAAAAAAAAAAAAAAAAAAAAAACAATTAATAATTCTATAATTGTGATTTTGCGATCATTATAATATTTTTTTCAGCCAATAATAAATCTGGGCCCTTATATGTAATATTTTTTAAAAATTAGACTCTTATATATAATTATTTTTAATTTGAGCTTATATTTGTAATTATTTTCATTTTCCAAGCTCTTATTTGTAAATTTTCCTATTAATTAATAACAAAAATATTTATATCAGAATAATCTGATTTGATATTTTAGTTAAATTTTGGTTAAAATATGATTTATAAAATTATTAAAATAGAAATATACAGAGATCATCATAACAGATACAGTCTGGGAATATACCAAATTAGGAAATCGCATTCTAGAATGATCTATGAATAGATTCTTGATTTTGATTGGC